CTCAAGGCTCGCGGAGAGAACATGGACCCCGGAGAGACGAAACCCTCTGAGCGCGCGGCAGTACAGGCGCGCCGGAGGGAGATTGGGAAGAAGCTGCGGCTGATTGACTATTAGCGTTGTCTGGATGGACGGGTAGAAGCATCGTGGAACCGTGACTGCGCTGCATCACGGAGAAATGCTGTGGTATTTGCTGCGTGTGTGAGCTGATCTGTGTTGGTATACACGTCAGCAGAGCGAGGTCTTTTTGGCCAGTACGAAGCTCGATACTCGAATATTGAAGCGTGTAAATAGGGTATCGAGGAAGACGTTTACCCCTTTGGATACACAGCGCGCGAAGGAGGGAAGAAATCTACTTAGATTGTGTTTCCAAGTCCCAAGACTATTTCTCACGCAATCGAGTGACCTCGTGACATTTCGCTACTTCTACACCGTCCATCTGCCTTCTTTGGCAGCCGGCTGTACTCGAGGCATTATAGATCAGCGAGCCAGTCTTGGGTTGATCACCTTGCAAAGGCGCGGATACCGCCTCTGGGGAACATGCCTGTGATGTATTTGCGTTTGCTCAAAGGAAGACATTTTCTTGTGAGTCTGGATCCAGTTTACTTTCGAGGAGTAATCTTGTTCATCCAGCATGTATCCCCTACATAATATACCTTAAGGAGACGTAGTGCAGAGGTAGCAACAGAGGTAGTTGTCATAAGGAAGGGGAAAGCGATAGTAATAAAGGCGGTTGGCAAAAGGACGAGAGTAGGGGTAATAATGGAGGTAGTCTTTGTTAGTAAAGTAATACTTATTCGTTGACCGGAGTCCTGTTTTGTCGTTGACTCTTAATGCCCTCCTTGGTAGCCTAGTCCATAAACGTTGCACGAAACTGCTGTGCCTGCTGCGTGTCGAGTACGATCTTTACACGTGTTGGAACTTTTTGATTCACTCTGTAACGTTACTCCAATCCAGAAGTGTCAAAGGATCAGTTTTTCTCGATTGATCTCAGAACCATGCTCAGATATCATTAAAGACGAAGGGCGAATCAACCTCTCAAAGGCCCGTCAGTCCCCGCCAAAACCAAGAGGTTCATACACATCTCTTTGTAAGATAGCAACCTTCATTAGGATATAAATCATAAAGCCCGAGTCTGGTACAACCCCAATACACCAAGTTCACCCTGGACGGGCGGTCGGGTGGTCGCTACAGTCTGTGTAGCTAACCAACTGACCGCTTCCACGATGAAGAAACTTTCCCAAATAAGATACACAAATTTATACACAGGAACACAAAAGCCTCATGTCGTAACAACGACGATCAAGATTGACAATAGCTTCAACCGCCTCACAAACGCAACTAGGCAAGCTCGTGCATCTGCCCCTTGTGCCCATCGCCACTCGCAGGCGCCTCGTGAATTGTCGGCTGTGGCTGCCCACCACCGCCAAACTGCTGGAAGCCGCCTTGTGGGTGATTCGGGCTGACGGGTCGCGTGCTGAGGCGATTACTGTGCGTTCCCTGAGACATGGCACTGGGGCTCGTCGTGTCCGCGCGATCGGGGACCGCCATGTTACCGCTGTAGTAGGGTTGCTGGTAGCCGCCGCCCTGTTGAGGAGGGGGAGGGGGCGTGCTGCCGTAGTGTTGCTGCGGATATCCGCCCTGGCCATCGTACTTTGGCTCGTAGAAGGAGTGCGTTTGTGTTTGGGCGGCGTACGGTGCCGGCGAGCCTTGGGGCGCCGGAGCGTAGCCCATTGGTGGTGGCTGATGCTGTTGCTGCTGGTTCATCATGGGAGGTTGGCCGTGCGGTCCGGGTCCGGGTTGCTGCTGCGTCTTCTTCTTTTTGCGGAGGATAAAGAAGATTCCAAAGCCGATGAGTGCGATGACGGCGATGCCGCCGATGACGCCTCCGACGATGGCACCGACGGGGGTCGAGGACTTGCTGTTGTTATTGTTGTTGATCCCGCCATTATTATCGTTGTCAGGAGAGGTAGTTATAGAGGGCGCGGACACGGAACCACTAGCGGTGCCTGTGATGACTCCGGAGCTGGCTGGCCGGATGACACTGCTGGATGTGGTGTCGTCTGTCAGGGCGAGCGGTGTCCAGTTGCGCGCCGGTCCGCCGGCGTAAGTGGTCGTCGCGGCTTGCGGGGTCGAGATATCTGCCGTATTACACCAGTAGTCAAAGATGCCGTCTGCGAAGGAGATGGTGTTGCAGTATGGTCGAGCAGTGTTGGTACTGAACACGATATCAGTCTTTTAGAGTACTCATCACGTCTGGAGAAAGAACCATCTTCGAGATCATACATACCATTTCAAGGTGAAGCGATCAACAAGACAGCCACCATCACAGAGACTAGACGACGAGACCTGTTTAGAATCGTAGCATGTCCGCCGGGCACCACAATCACTGGCGTCACAACAGGCAACTCGGCCAGGGGTATTTCTGTTCACCGATGTGAAGAAGATGCAGCTGGCGGCGGTCCCGCATGTGTATGCCGCGCCGGCACGCCCGGAGATGTAGCCACAAGTGTTATCTGGCGCAACGAGGACTGTAGTTGTTGTTGATGCTTGCCTTTTCCTCAAGTCAGCGTAAGCGGGGGCCTTGGTCGGCTGAGGGCTGAATTGGTCGAGAGGAAAGTTGAATGAAGTGGTAGCCTGGGGGAGTTCGTAGATCTTGGCATTGGCAAGGCTTGAGAGAGCCGCCAAACCAGCGAGGGACTTGGATTTGTTCACCATTTTGATGGAACTTTGAACAGGTTTAATGAGACTGGCGAGGACTCGATCTACAGTATTGTGCGTCAAGTTGACTCGAGGGAGATCAAACAAGACAGAAGAGAAGGGGAACACCGCTCGTAGAGCGGATGGGCTAAATGTCTTGGTTATAAACCTAGCCCTCTTTGTATTCCCGTATCTGTTTCCATCGTTGTTGTTCCACAAAGGGCGCTCTCGGGGCACTGTCCCAAGGTACGAGTTGTCTTGATAGCGAGCTATGAGGTGTAAGCACCGCCCGGGACCGGTTCATGCTCGGATTGACTTCAACAGTAGATCCGCGAATTGCTCAGCCCTAGACTAGCTAGAGAGCTTAGTTTTCTGGGAGGATGGGCTAGTCAGGCATCTGGGGTCTAACCAGACCAATTGCAGAAGAGATAGATCATTGTGGCTTGCCAAAGCTGAATAACAAGAGTGCTTTTAGCGTGGACGGAAAGAGAGGAACAAAAGCCACCGGGGCTGCTGCACCAAGGGTGAACAGGAAGAGAATGGCGGGGGTGGAGACAAAGACATGGCAGAAGAATAGAAGCTGGGACAAAGTGTTGTTGCGCAGGGAGGATAAGACGTCCCAGAAATAGCAGATTATTCGGTCTTTAGGAAGATACTTCACCACAGAGTGTAGCCAAAATGTAGCACAAAAGACTTGCTGAAAGCGCCGTCGAATTGATAAGACTCTGATGAGGGATTGGCGGCTGCCGTGCAAGTCTGGAAGCTATGGCAACATTGTTGCCTAGATCTAGGGTCTTCTCGAAGAGCATATGACGAACCCTGATAAATGGGCCAGTGGGGTCTTGTTCCCTCCCAAGAGGACGCCGAAGGTGAAGATCGGATCCTTCCTCGCTGGAACCGAGAGTGCCATAAGCATCATACCTTGCCGTTGGAAGTCAGGTTTCCCGCTGTTAGCGTGTTGATCGAGGACTATCCGGCGTGTGAGTCTGGCGCCCTTAGGCCATCGCGGACTAGCTTTCGACGAAGGTATGCTGCACTAGTCCTCTCTCGCATTTGCTAATTAGACAAGACCACCGCCTGAAAGCAGGCTTCAGCCTCGGGCCTGTGCTTGTTTCCCTAGGTCAGGTTTAGATGGGAAAACGGCCCCATAGCTCAATTGATTTCCGAATCAGTAGCTAATGTGTGACTCTCTGGTCTTTTTCGTTGCCTTGTGCTTGTTTGTTCAAATTGCGAAAGCGGATAGCTAGCGGCTCCCGCCTGAACACCATACAAGATATATGCTCCGTCTGCCATCTGTTCCCGAAGCGGACGTGCGAAAGAACGTGTGAAGAACGATCAAAACAACAAGTCTTGCCAATCGAGGATGTTTACCGAGAATTTGGACAGGTTGGCCGGAATTTTAATGGCTAAAATGGCACCATGGCTAGGCAAACCGTTGAGAGGCACAGAACACTGTTAGAGAGATGCTTCGGGAAAGTCTACAAGAGGTGCAACGAAAGAGGAGGCGTGAACCCTCTGCTGGCCTCCTGCAAAGCTCTTATCGACACATTGCTTAAAGCTCGGTGATGTTGGGAACATAGACCCATGGCGCCGACATATATGCCTTTCCTCTGCAATGACAACTGCCATCATTACTTCATCGTAAAGGGTCTCACGCTGTGAATTGATAAGCCCTTTTCGGCGGTCAGGTTGAATCGCAAAACAAGCTCTCAGCTGCTGCCATCTAGCACATCGCCGCCCAAGCATCGAGGGCAAAGACACCTCCCCGCCTGAATTCGATTCCATACTGAGTAGTGGTCTTGAGGCAATACTATAAAATAGTGTCAGAAATCTACCTGGCGGTTATGCAGGTGTCCTGCTGCTTCTTTGGTGATCGCTGTGGGAATCGAACCCACACTCCGCAGAGCTGCCAAAGCGACCTTTGAGACCGAAGTCTTAGGAAGTGGCCCCATTGTAAGATGGAGATCGTCCATCATGGAAGATTTACATAGCTTACTATGGAAAGAGGGAAGGAGGTGGTTACCCATGGGGAGGTTGGAGGTGAAGAAGGGGTAACACCTTGAGGGAGGGAGATAAAGCAGGTTATAAGCTCGGGTAGAATGTAGATGAGAATATTTTCAGAGTCATACTGCTGTTGCTCAGTCGTCTTACTGAGGCACAGACATATCAGGGTCAAGTACCTCATAAGTATGGTTGACACTCTCGGCAAGCAGTGCGCCCTCCTCCTTCTCCTAGCGTGCTGGGGTCTTGTCAACCTCGTGCGCCACGAGTATGGGTAACAGTGAGTGTAGCATCCGTCGCGACTAGGTTTGACGACCGGGGCAAGAGTAGGGATAACGACAACGGCAAGAGTGAGGTTGACAACGGCAGGGAAAGTAGGGTTGGCGGTGGCGGCAGCTCGACTCCGTAGCTGACGCTGTGTATTGATCAAGGTAGTATGGAGAAGAGACAACGGGATCGATGTACACTTACATTTAATGAACGTACTTTTTCTCAAACTCTCCACAGTGACCATTCGACCGAAAAGTTGAAACCCGGGCGGTAGTACTTCGAGTGCCACGGCGCAAGCAGGCCTAGTTGCGAACACCACGTTGACGACTCCGCCGTGCCTTAATGCCCGAAATCTCGGGTTGATCGGAGACGTCCAGTCAGAAACAACGTCACTAGTAGCCGCGCGCGCGACAAGAGTCCCAAAAATTGCCTCCACTGTGTCGTAATCGACAGTGAGATCGGCATTCGTCAGCGTCAGAACTTTTCTGCGCTCGAAGCCCGTTGAGGCTGTGGAAAGCTTGGGCGTCGAGGGGTCTGTTATTCGAGGCCATTCACATCATATTAATGTGATCATGTTAATCTTTAACGATAGCTTGAGGAGTTCAGCGCTTACTTCCCTGTCGACTAGATTCCGATCAGCGGCGTTGGCTTGATGGTGTGATTTTCGAACTGAAAGCCAGAGTTACGAGTGCAGGATGTGTTGTAGAAGTAGAAGTAGAAGAATGAAGTCGAATATAAGCAGGGTGAAGTCCATATCATCGTCGTCGATGGAATCTGTGGGAGAGGGGAGAAGGTGAAGATGCGCAGGGCAGAGGCCGTTCCTTTTGCTGAATGTAGACTTTGTCATTGAGTCGCGGGCCACCTACTACCCACCTTCCACCTACCTTACATACTACGGTGTTGATATTAATTTGACGGCAGGTGCGCCCCTCCGTCTTAAATCTTGGCCTGATATGGCAGATGAATAGCCTTCTTCAGTTGGGATTGACGAGAGTCAGAGGAAATTCGCCATCAATAATTCGCGTCAAAGAGAAAAGAAAACCGGGCCTATTTGCATACGTATTGACCATATAGATTGCTACAGCAAAGGCCATATAGCCAACAGAGCGGAAATCGCAAATATCCCATTCCAAAACATCAGTAGAAGGTACCTCTGCCATGCGTCCCCCTTTCTGGGTAGGTAGGAAGGCAGGCAGGCGCTTGATTGGAAGACAACTTCCGCTTAGATAGTGCGCTATTGCTTGACGTCCCTCAGTGGCTCGCCGGAGGGCAAGGATGCTTTGCGATTGGGAGATAGCTCTTCCTCTAACCGCTTTCAAACCTCGCCCCTCTAATCTCTGTACTCCACTGTTAAGGTTCCATTGTATCCGTCGGGTCGATTGTCTCTCTGCACCGACATAAGGTAGCCACCGATGGATCCCTCCAAGTCTAGGGCCTCGAATCGAACCGAGAACGAGGCACCAGGCGTAGTCAGAGTTGGCGATGAGGCGATGAAGATCTTTCTTATTGACTAGTATACCAGCCTTAGTTGCATACCTATGAGGCTTGTTGGCTGGGCATGCTATGATTCGCCATTGTCAGCGTTGTCTGGGTTGCCCAGGCGTCTTGCCTACAGTATTGCCAAATTTGTGGTGCCGTTTCTTTGGCACAAAAAACATGAATCATTCACATGAATTAATTCATTATACTGAATGGAAAGCAACCATGTATCAGTCTCTGGGAGTCGGTGTTATATGTGAGAGGGCCTATACCTCTCAATCTCGATACTGATCAGCTACTACGGCAGAATAGTGACATACTGGTGACTGTGCTGGCACCAATGAACCCAGCCTGAGACAGGATCTCAAATCATCACAACCATATAATTAAGCAACGCTTTGTTAAAGCTACCGGTAATCAAGTACCAAAGACGTTTGTGGGAGAGAAAGCCAAGGATGAAGAGATGGTCTAACTTCAAATTGGGCTTGAAAATCTGCCCGCCGTCCCCAATGAACATGCTTCCGTCGCTCTCAAGCTAGATATGCCGGGATCTTAGAGATGGGATAGCCTACCTGCTGTGTTCAACATTTTGGATTGCAAGAAATTTTACCGCTTGAGTCCTTTCCCCATGTGCAAACTAATTCCACCATGCAAGCAATCCCGCTTCTTCATCCATACTTCGAGGTCTGACACCCTTCTCCCTCTTTTTGTGAGCACTACCCATCTTCCTCCATGGGTTATACCCTTAGACTTCGGCCTTCAAGTGTCGTTTTTGCTTCGGTAGCTGGCGTCTCTGACATCGTTGTCCTGCGTGAGCATGATGATGATACCTGGGAACGGACTTGAGTCCCAAGCGATGAAGTATCACATTGAAATAATGATCGACCCAGCACCCGAGTCGGGCCATCCAGAGACGCATTATATCAGACCCGTCTTCTACTTGCGTGTTGACAGGCTATCGACAACGGCAGATATATAAGAAGTCTATGTCAATGCCCAAGCATGACTAAGTAAAGGTGCTGTCAGCCCCGCGGTGGACGTTAAACTCGAACACTTCGCGGGCGTGAGAGCGGACACAGCCCGCCTCCCCATACACTCAAAATAATGAAATTGGGATCAGTTATAAGATCATAGTGAAAGTTTAAAAAGCATGCATATCGCAAAAAGGGATTGGTTGCTTTGGCTGCTTAAGTCATTTGGCTATTTTTACTCTATGCCAGTGCCAGCAGATCTCAACCAGTGGGCGTGATGACATAATCAACAATGACCACCATCAGGTACGTACCTAGCCGAGGGAATCATCAACCTCTCCATTGGCTCTGTCTTTGTGATGATGGCGTGCATCAATACCTTCTATACATGTAGGTGAATACGCGCCCGTTTGCAAGATCAATCCTGGCCATAACTTCCCATTCCGTGTAACTGACACGCCACGACAAGAAGCAGCGACGCGCCCTTGGCGATCAGATCTTACCAAACATTTCACTTCAACTGATTCGACTAGCCGAACATCTCATAATGGCTCTCAAGCTCCTGTGACGATTCTTGTTCACATCTCACTCACCAGGCCTTACCATCGCAAGACACCAACTCTTCCGAACACATCGGAGACGGGAGACTTCAAAGAGAATATAGAGGCCATTCGACAATCCATGCCGCCGGACTCTCTTCACATGCCATGTCCGACCTGCTTCAACTGATACCTGACTTCCCTGTTAGGCAGTTTGCTGGACTGTTGCAGACTCTGGAACGCCATCAGCTTTCCGTCACAGATTTACTAACTCAGGATGTCGTTGACATAGGCAAGCGCACTCAACTGCCTTTGCTTGACATCAAAAGACTTTGCGCTGCCGTCGTCGATGCCCTCCATCGCGACTTTGGCTCTGCCAACGAGCCGCCAAAGGCTAGCCGGTTTCTCAAGCGCTCTCTGACGGATCTTGAGAATCAATGGTCTACCATTAGCACTCTAGACGACTCTCTTGACCGAGCTTTGGGGGGAGGAATCCCAGCCGGCTATGTGACCGAGATCACGGGCGAAAGCGGCGCTGGAAAAACGCAATTTCTGCTATCCTTATTGCTGGCCGTTCAATTGCCGCCGCCGTATGGCTTAGGGCGCCCGGCCATATACATCACAACAGAGGCTCAGTTGTCCACCAAGCGTCTATCGCAAATACTGTCATCCAATCCGCGGTTCGCAGACCTCTCACCGGAAGACAAGCCGTCTCTAGACGGTATCCTCAGTACTTCGACACCTGACCTTGAGTCACAGGAGCACATTCTCCAATTTCAAGTCCCCGTAGAAGTTGAGAGGCGGAATACTGGACTCATCGTCTTGGACTCTGTCGCCTCTAACTATCGAGCCGAATTTGAGCGAGGGGCTCTTGGTAATCATGGGTCAAATATGGGAGCCCGAAGCAACGAACTCACGCGGCTTGGAGCCTTGCTTAGAGAGCTGGCCCAAACATACAACTTGGCTGTTGTTGTCGCCAACCAAGTCGCGGATCGCTTCTCCAGTCCTTTTGCGCCCGTGGCGACCCCCAGAGCGGCGCCCACAGCCGCTGCTCCGAGTTTCACCCAGGAAAGCCCACTGGCATCGCGGAGCAGAGGGCTGAGAGCTTTCTCACCGTCGGCGGTCGAACCGACATCGTCCATAGCTGAACATGTTCGTTCTAGTATGCCTGAACCTCCCGGCCTGGATGACTTCGGCCCGCCTGCGCCTCCCGCACTCGCATTTGACCACCAGCAACGATGGTTCACGGGGTGGGGCGACGATCCGTTTGCAGACTATGGGCTCAAGACGCCCAGTCTAGGTCTTGTGTGGTCAACACAGATTGCGTGCCGCATCGCGCTTTTCAAGAAGCCCGTGTATGGAGTGCATCGGCACATAGAAGATGAAGCCGATGATCGGGGCATGCCGGCGCTCAAGAACTGGCGACGATGGATGAAAGTGGTCTTTGCTCCTCACTCGAGAGCTACGGGGCAGGGTCTGGATGGCGCTGTCGAGTTTTCAGTGACCATGGCTGGACTGAAAGCTGTGACCAAAAAAGAAGCCGATGACAACTGAAGCGGCAGCTTCTTTACAGACTTCGATATCAAGAGTAGTTTCTCTAGTAGAGGAAAATTGACTGATCGGCAGTCAAAATCGACAATCTTACTACCGGCAGAGATAAAATTGTCACGTTGATGCCTGCTTGTCATCATCATTCATCATTTGAGGCCACTCAATAGTAGTGTTGTCATCATTATCTTACAAAGCAATGGAAGTAGAAGGTGGTGCGAAGTAATAAGTCAAGGGCAGTTAGGACTCCTATCTAGTGAACTAACTTTCAGGAGGGAAGGACAAAGAGATTCATCACCTTTGGGGCTGGCAGTGCTACTTTGGAGTTCCTTTTCTGACAATCATCAACCGTGTCATATATCAAAAGGGAATGGAAAGTCAGCCAAGGTCTGCACGTGTAAGTAGATATGCGGGATGAGTGAGGTTGAAGACCTGAAAAGCTCCACATGAACCGCAGAATGTGGTGTCTTGGCACCAACGGCCTCACCCCCAGATAAAGGGATACCTGTCAAGGTCACTGCTCTGGGGATACCCGTATTGCCCAAAACTTGCTTTATATGGCAATGGCTCATGGAGCAAGGGTATTATTAGGAGATGATAGAACCGGAATTGATGGTAAGAAACGAAACAAGCTTTCCAACGTTGAAAGAGCCCCCAGATCAGATACTACCCGACATGTTGAAAGGAAACTTTTTCGCCGCAGGTCGCAGCTGCTGGCGGAGGCGTTTCATGGAAGACGAATAGCACTTGACCCCCTGATATTAAGGACTGCAGGAACGAGGACGGACCCCGGCACCTGCTTACGTACTGCATCCGGAATCCGATGTCCCAGAAATAGTGTGGAGGCGCAGACACCCGACCTGGAGGACGCCACTGGATAAGGACAGGCTCAACATGTCGTCCCTGCCTTGCTTGCGTGCCAGGTGCCTGCCTCCCCAAGGTCACAGAGGTGTCTGAACAGCCCCACTGGAGCCGGTCCAGAACACTAAGAAGACGTATCACGTGCTTGATCCCGTGCCGTACTAGCCTCTCCAAAGAGTTTCATTCGTCGGTGACATCTGACTGCCCAGGTCGACGTGGGTCCTTTTGTTCCTCCCGCCAGGCGGTAACCCACTGGACACTGCACAGGACACAGGACTCTGGGCACAGGACACCGAGCACTAAGGTAATCAGAGACTGGCACCTGACTGGTACTCTGTACACCGCGCTAGAAGCCTTGACGTAGCAGCAGCCTGCATTTACTCCGTCCGACTCCTACCACCTCACTTGACCTGTCCTGACTCTGGCTTTGTTGCTTTCACAACCTGGAACCTCAACACGACACCACCGAAATCCATCAACCTCCCAACACCTACACAACGTCCATATAATCGCCCAGCGCGCCTATATTCGCCGCGTCTCTCGATCCCTACCAGCCTTGATCAGATCCCCCGCTATTCACAATGAACCCCGAGTAGTACGTTGCCTCAACCGCCTCCTCCGCCTCCTTGCCTTGCGAAACGAGGAATCCTCGGGAGTCGCCGCTAAGCTGACCTTGTTCTCTCTCACAGAGTCTCCCCCCCTCATCGATATCGTCTTTTCGATCTTTTCGCTGCCATGGCGCGCAAAGCGCGAAAATCGCCGATATGATTTAGGTTCGACACCGATACTGACCCGACGCCAGGTACGACTACCTCTTCAAGCTTCTCCTCATCGGTGATTCCGGTGTTGGAAAGTCTTGCCTTCTGTTGCGATTCGCCGACGACACATACACCGAGTCCTACATCTCCACCATCGGTGTCGACTTTGTATGAAATCCCCCACTCTGCCGACGCCGACCGATCGGCTACTGACGATAAACCTTAGAAAATCCGCACGATAGAGCTCGATGGAAAGACGGTGAAGCTGCAAATCGTGAGTTAATCCTGGCGGAGAATATTGTCGAGGAAATGAGGCTGCCGCAAATGCTGACATTTCTATCTACTTGGTAGTGGGATACTGCCGGTCAGGAGCGTTTCCGCACCATCACTTCCTCCTACTACCGTGGTGCCCACGGCATCTGCGTCGTCTACGATGTCACCGACATGGACTCTTTCAACAACGTCAAGCAATGGCTCCAGGAGATCGACAGATACGCCACCGAGGGCGTCAACAAGCTGCTCGTTGGCAACAAGAGCGATATGTCCGACAAGAAGGTTGTCGAGTACACCGTCGCCAAGGTCAGATTACCCCCGCCGGCTGTTGAGGCGACACATTGCCCGACAACTCCCACTCGGACTGTAAAGTTCTTTATTTTGACCATCTGTTTGCTAACCCTCCAATAGGAATTCGCCGACAGCTTGGGCATTCCCTTCCTTGAAACCTCTGCAAAGAACGCCAGCAACGTCGAGCAGGCTTTCCTGACCATGGCCCGCCAGATCAAGGAGCGCATGGGTAGCACGACCGCGAACAACACGAAACCCTCCGTACAGGTTGGCCCTGGCCACGGTGTCTCCTCGAACTCGGGAGGTGGCTGCTGCTAAATGTATCGTCCCTGATTTCTACGAAGCCCGCTTTCCTTACCTGTGTTCTATGGCATTTTACGGATTTTTCTCGGCGGAGGGGATACAGCTGGGCAGAATGGGCGAGGAAGGGAATGCACAGCTCATGACGGTGTAGGGATCACATTTTGGCTCGGACGATGCTGTGTCGTTCGCTTTTCTCTCCTTCCGCGCAAAGGCTGCTTTCCATACTTCTACGCATAGATGAGTGTTGGTTTGGTTCGTCCCAGCTCCTTCGCACTGCACACACACAATCGACACAAGATACCTCTGTAACTGGACCCATGGCGTTGTTCACGGCAAACGACAAGGCTCCTGGTGCCTGACGGCAATTCAGAAGCCAGACTCTGGGGCGTTCAGTGGGAGACTTCTAGGGATCTCACTGAGCGCAGAGAGAATAACAAGGTCAACTCGATGTGTATTACAAGCGTAGGCTTTGTTTTGCCGGCGTATCGTGTGCTTTGCAATCAAGCTTGGTTGGCCAGGGGGCGAGCACATAGGCAACGCAGCGGGCCGTACGTATGGGTGTCTGCGCGCTGGTTCCCAGCCACATGTCTTCTCTCTTTTTGTTTCCAATCCTTGGCGGCTGCTGCTTTTCTGGTAGATAGGGTCGAAGTAATGGGCAAGTGACGTTTTCCTTCTTGATATTGCGGCAATCGAGGGTGATGATTCCGTTTGTTTCCCAGTTCGTGAAAAGCATCCCGCGTGAGGTCTCAGCCTGAACCAATCTAGGCGTTTGCCAACCTAGTCAACGAGCATTTGCATGTCGAACGAGAGTATGATGGGCGGCGCATACGAGGGTTTCGGATTGACCGGTCATCGGGCTCGCCTCGCGTTCGACTGTTTGCTCCGTTCTTCCACCTTCTTGGGTACCTAGGCAGTTGTACTACAACATAGCGTTAGATTTTACTCTTTACGAATCACTTGGAAGTCAAACCAGGAATCGAACCTACTCCCCAAAGTTAACATAATTGGTTTCCTACCATACATTTCAATCAGTATCCCTTTCACTACTCATATCACAAGTACTGCCCTTTCGCATCAAAATTGTTCTTATAGACATAGGAGAATATATTCTAACAGATATTGAATGGGTGTGGCCCATGATGAAGTGCGGAGAGAAGGGTGTTGCCCCTCAAGGAGGTAGCAAGTGAAGAAGGGCTGGGGAACGGGTCACGGGACAAGTACTTTGCCTGGGCGTCTTTCCAGCTCTCCGCTTTGGTATCCTTCAAGCGGAGAAGTGCCATAATGAAACGAAAACACAGAAACCGTGCAGCCGGTCTCTTGTCGTTGAGGAATACCAATTCTCTGTCCTGAAGACCTCTGGCTATGCGAGGTCTATCCCAGCCAGGTGTGGGGGTTACGTCGTGAAGGGGGTCATCTTCTATGCCCTTGTCGAGGATGTCGATCTTCCATCGTTTGAGTGGCTTTTCTTCCGGATCAACAGGGACAATGACTAGCTTATAATGGTTGAACCAATACTGGATCAGCGTCGAAAGTAAAAGTGGCTCAATTCGCCCGTTCTCTCACGGAAAAGGTGATCCAAGATCTCATGAGGTACGTTCGAGAAATACGGCACAACGTTCGCAGCGGCATAGCGCTGAGGCAGGGGTTGAGCATGCTCGTCATCTGGTGTGTCTTCTAGATGCATTCACGATCCGGTGGCGTGACACCAGCAGTGTTCGTAGGATTCGGCCAAAAGATTTGCCATCTCGGTGTCCGTCCTGGAGATTTCTGCGGCCTGGTATTGGCAAGATTGCCCTCCGTAGTACAACAGAGCTTTATCGCGGAACCAATTACTGATTCCCAGGGACTTCGTCTGGTATCTATCAAACCTGCCGTAGTAGGTCTCCACACCCTGGGCTATGGTCCCGGCACAAGGTCCCCAGAGGCTCGCCACGTTTAGATGCTCGATAATACGGGACCTCTTCTGGAACACTGTTTGACCCAGGGAGTCTCGGCACCTTTTCAATTTGATACATTCCTGCGCCGCCGCATCGCTGTCGATTTCTCCGGATGTTTCTCGAGGAGCCGAGAGATCTTCTTCGATTTGGCAGATCTTGTAGTTCAGACCGAGCCCACCGAGACGCGCCATCGGCACATTGATGCCTTCTCCCTTCAGGCGAGAAAGCTCTGGTCCCTCGATGTCTTTGAACTCGTCGAGTATCTTGTCCAAGTGTACCAAGGTATGACGGGGTTTTTTCTAGATCCTGAGACAATCGGGCAATCTCAGAGTGCTGTTGGATGCGGTGTGGGATGTCGTTGTCGGAGGGGGTACCCGCCGGTATGATGTCCTCGCCGAGGTCGTTATAGTCTCCTAGTTGGCTCATCTTGTTGGTCTCGTCTTAAGTGTTGGTTGATGAGTATTGGATGATGGATATCGGTTGTTGAATGTTTGGCTGATTCTCAGGGGGGAGGGAGAGACTTCGGGGTCTTGAACGCAGGCAAAGGGCAAATGGAGATGGATCTGTGGCGATTCTTGGAGGCGGCATATTGGGTTTTGTGGTTTCCCTCGACTTCCAAGTATCTTGTTATCAAAGAAAATGAACTTTTTGTGAGTCAGAAGTACCATCAAGGGTCACTTGAAAGTTCTCTCCAGTCTCCTCACACTAAATTTTTCACCTTAAACTTGAATTCAGAAAATCTTACATCTCCTTAATCCTTCAGGTCAGCGTTGTATTCAAATATTAATGGAAAACTGAGATAGATACATTCGAAGCCATGTGTCGTGTAAGAAGGTGGGGGATTCTGGAGATAATTTTGGTGGGAGAGCTCAATGGTGTTGGCGGACTTTTGAGCCGGCGTGATAACGATGTCCAGGACTTTGGTGCGTGCCCAGATGTCTTTGTGTGCAAATGCGCAACGACTTGGTCAGGCCAGATATCAAAAGCAGTGAGTTGTTCTGGATGGAGATGTCGAAGTAGTCCGAGCTACTGGCAATTATGACCATGGTCCTGATGTTATTCTGTCTCACTTGATGTTGCAGTATCCGTCGAGGCCTCTACTTTGAACGTATAGTCCCCTCGAGAGGTCCGACACAAGTCGGTTATTTGATACCTCAAGGTGCCACCATCACTGACGCGCCAAGTAGGCGAAGTATCAACACCAAGAAGGAAGAATGCAGGCGCTCTGAAAGTTTCATTTCGTATCTATGGGAGATCTGTCCCGGGGTATTGTCCAGCCAAGACTACAACTGAAAGATCGCGCATATGACGCGCTCGGAACTGATGATAAGAGCAAAGAACAAGATCATCGATCTTGAAACCGAGCAGCAAGTATCCATCCATCTCTCGGCCCTCTGCCCCATTTCCCCCTTCGACATGATGTGGCTCTTCTTCTAACATGATGCAACACCTTATGCCATGGTGTTGAGACTGAGAATGAAACGTCGTGATGGGGTCATTTCAAAGAAAAGGAAAACAAGATGCAGGGCCGAGCCATTTAGCCCTACAGATACAAGTAACGGTACAAAGTCACGGAGTGACTTATCAAGCTAGGCCGAGAAACTTAAGGGCCTTGCGGCTGTTTCCCTTCCGGACCTGGTTCTTCTTCAAGAACATGGGCATCAAACGTCTTTCCTCGAGGTCTAGATCGCTCTCGTAGTCCATATCGACGGTTAAGATGGATGTGGCATCGCCGACGCTTTTTCTGTCGCCTCGTCGTGACTTGAATCGGCGACTCATGATTGTTTCTGCGATGGAAGAAGGTCGGGCTGAAGTTCTGATAGAGCCTGATGCCCTGTTCACGGCCTTGCGACCACTGGTGGATGGCGGAGACATCGGAGGGCTCATCGAAGCCTGAGGGAATGCCGAGAAGTTCCCGGATTGCCGCTTGCTCTTGACACTACTCTCTTCAAGCTTCTTGCTTTCTTCAGGCAAGTAAAACTTGGAGATGTTGATCAGAGTCTTCCAGATGGTGGACACAAAAGTCGCAACTTCCGCCTCTGTTGCGGTGGATGCGAGGAGAAAGTTGGCCTTGGAAACTGCCAGCCCATCTCGCGAAGATGTCGATGCGGCAGATCTCGATCCCTTGGACTGGAGTGAGCTTGAGCTCGATGCCAAGTCACTCACAGTAGGAATACGTCCCAAGGAGCTACCTCGAACATGAGTGAAGGGAAGTGGCTCCTTGGCCTGAGCATCAATGACTTGGGCAACTTTCATCAAATCGACGCCGACCAACTTCTGCAAAGCGAGGATGGTGGCAAGATGATCCGGAGGGTAGTCGAGAATCAGAAAACGGACTTCGGAGTGCGCAGCAAAGAAAGTCTCAAGATGAGGAATGATAAGCGTCGCCAGAAGATATGAGTTGGTGAAAGGGTTGTCTTGAGTCTGGTTGGCCAGTGGCTGTGCGGTGAAGGACTGCATCGCGTTCGCAATGAGATATCTGAGAAGTTTCGTTAGCCAAGAGACGAAAAGATCACCCAAAGAAATGAACTTACCGGAAATCCAGCCTGCCAGTCCTCGAAATGCCGCTCGACTTTGTGCCCAACTTCTCAAGCTGGCTAGTTACTCCAGAGACAAATGTTTTCTTGACTCCACGTTGCGCACCTATGGCCAGGATTTGGTCTATTCGGTGATTGTCTTTTCTTGGACTTCCACCAGGCTCAACGTCCCGGAATATCGGCTTCCACAGTGCGTCCATCTCGGGAAGCAACGGAAAGTTGAACTGAGAGAACCCTCTTCCCTTGGGTGGGAAGTAGATGTTAAGCACTGATCTGAGGGAGTTCTGCATGGCTACAGCCGTCTGACCGTGCACGGCGTTGAAATCGTGGAACTTATCCTCCGACTCGGACACCGTGGGCGGAGGCGTATGCGCAGGCGTAGGCAGAGCTGATCTTATCACAGTCCGGGTGAAAGGCTGGACAGGCTTCGCGGTGTAGGTCGGACCCTGGTAGGAGAAAGGGTCGTACTCTTCTGTGCTGACCTTCGTCGTGGACGTGAACTGGGTGACTTCGGGCTCGGCCAGTTGCCAGGTTGGAGTCTGCGGGGTCGATCTGTCACCATCCGCAGTAGACGTGCCGGAGGAAGCAGAAGAAGGCAGTGTAACAGGATAAACACCTTCTCTGAAAGCCTTGATCATGTATTCCAGGATTGGGTCTGGACTGTCGTCCTTGAAGTGAATGACTAGGTCCTCATAGAATGGCAGTACAGGTCGGAACGGCGTCTCATTCAGTTCGACATCTTCGGCATCGGTTCCTCTGTCGACATATTTCGACCTAGACTTGGTATGCTTACGTTTGCGCAGTCTCTTCTCGGACGGTGGAGGGGGCGGCAATGCCTTGTTGACTCCCTTGTTTGGTCGGGCTGCTTTGACATAGATTGTCTTCGGGCCTTCGACGCGCTTAGCGCTACTTTCGCGTTTTTCGGCGTCTTCGATGAGTTCAACTACCGACACAGGGCGACCCTCGGCAACCTTCTCGGCAGTAGTCTTCTCAGCGGAAAGCAACAAGTTCTCAGCGGAGGGCTTCTCATTGTGAATTTTCTCAGCAGCACTTTGCTCCTTAGGCTTCAGCCGCATGAGAGTGTCTCTATAGCGAGAGTTGCTTCGATGGAGATGGCTAATCGACTGTGATCGCTTCAAAGCCCTGGAAGAGGCGGATGACTTCATACGGACGAGTGAGGCTTGTTCGATGTATATTGGCTCTGTCGAACGGATGCTGAAGACGTCAGATCTGGGAGATGCCACGTCGAGAAGGCCAGGAGCGTTAGGTGAAGAAGACGAGAATACATCATCCCGCTCATATGCCTCGCCCACACAGCTCGGAGACCGAAGTGGAGCAGTGACGATGGGTTTACCGTCACTATCAAAGCCTTCACCGGAGACTCTTTCAAGCTCGTCGAAATTCGTGATGGCGAGCCTGGGTGTTGGGCCATGATGTGGAGTCGTAGCCTCGACTTGCCCCTCCTCCTTGATATGATCTTCACTGAACTGGCCACCAAAGACGTAGAAGGATGCCATATCACCAAAGGTATCGGCGAAGCTATACATGGGTAGGCTCATGCTTCTCGGGCGCGGACGGCCGGCGGGAGTGGTGAGATCGATGTCGCTGGAAGGCTGTAAGTTTGCAGTTTCCCGGTCGAGAGCATCGGCAGCACGCATAGCTCTGGTGATGGGGTCTTCGCTTAGTTCCTCCGAGGTATCAAGGAATGAGCCGCTTGAGTTGGCGGGGTCCTCGAGGCCGGCAACGCCACCTTTAACAAGGTCATTGAAGATTGCTTCGGCTTTGGATATATCCCCCTCTGTCTCATTCCGAGAGATGGCTCTGATGCAGACCGTCTGCGCGCTGGGCGTACCGCCATTCATGAAGACCAGTCTCTTACGCTTGGGGGTCGAATCCTTCAAGAATTCCAAAGCGGTGTCCCTTCTCTTGGCGACAGCATTGTGAACTCGCCTGACAAACTTGCGCGCTTCAAACGGCTCATCGGGGTTCTCGGGTTCGAGGAATTCCTTGACGCTGGGAAGGATGGCAATTTGCGATGATATAGGTAGAAGACGGAGCTGAGTCGAAACGAGGTCATGGGGACCCTCGAAGGCAACGAGGCCGCCATGGTATTCAGCAGGCTCGGCCATTGGGAAGAGTCGTCCAGGGAGATGAAGATTGATAGAGGCGTGAAGTTCGCGAACGAATGAGCTGATTATGAATTATGTGGTAGTCGCGGAGAAGAGGTGAGATGAAGCGTTCAAGTAACGCAATTGAGTGTATTCGAATGTCGGAGAGGTCTTGCTAGCGAAGTGAAGAAAACGTCGATAAAAGGCGGAAGGTGTGAATCAGTGCAACCAGTTGCCGATTCTCCCACGTTGGCCAGTTTCGTCCAAGTCAACAGCAAGAGCAGTGACGAGCCGAAAGAGAGAAGAGAAATTGGGATGCGAAAAATGGAGAAATCCAACGGCCACCGGGCGAGAAAAGTATGATGGGCAGACCTGGAGAGAATAAAGAGGTGTAATGGAGTAGGCGTAGACGTAAGCGCGGCCGGCGGCATAAGGGCCAGAAAAGGTGGCTTGGCTCTACCGAGTCGATGTTCCTGATTTAGGGAGACAGGAGAGAGTAGACAAATAGTTGGCGTTTCCAAGCTACGCCCCAAGTCGCTAGTCTGGTTGGCAACGACGCAGTGGCTTCCCGGCGAGAAAAAGGGGATGCGATGTGGAAAGAGTGACCGGATGTCTGGGACGGGATGGTGCGGTGAGCTTGAGGCCTTGTTGGGGTTGGTTGCCTATATGGAAAGATGCGTCGTCTTGTCCGGATGAAAGAACGAACCAACCAAATCAAGGCCAGAATCCTCAGCCGAGCATCTCATGATCAAATTCCAGTCGTAGTGCAATCCAATGGTGT